TGTTCCAAATGCTGGGCGATACCCGATACACTTTCCGTAAAATGCCGCACACATTTTCTCTACCTAGAACGCACCCTTCTATAAGTTTTAACATCTTCCACTACAGACGTCAGCGTATGTAATAAGTTGCCGGGAACAGTCGGGAAATCTGGAAGTGTCATATCATTCTGCGCTTACAAACTGATTCCCCATAGTTCCTAAAGTAGCGCAAATATTGGACACATGCCTATCTGCAGTTGGGTTCTGGGAAAACGGACCTACCCATATATAGCTGCACGACAAAACCAACCAGCGTCTACCCGTCACTAAAAGCCACATTTCTCCCTCTAGTACTTTTCCATACATGCGTGTATACTCTTCAACTACTTACCGCATCAGCTCCATATAATTTGGATTTGTTCAGCGCTTCATCGTTACTTGGTACAAGCTCGTCTGCGCTGCCTCGCCGGCTTTTTGATTACATCCAGACGCTTAAAGCATAACACCAATTGCATCGCATTTCAACCGATAATCTTCCTTCCTCAACGAAGATTTTTGATCTTTTTCGCACTTTTACTTATCCGTCTGCGCCAGACCTGTGGATCCCTACATACCGCCCAGGCTTAGCTCAGTAACGGCTGATCCATCACACCTTTCGTCTCTTTGACCTCGGTAAGTGGCATTTCTTACATTTTGTCTCAGATATTGTGTCCTGTATCTCTGCTTGCGTCCTCAAATGTTACCTACACGTTTGTTGAGCCACACAGTCTCTTCGTTTAGCCTAATTCCGTTTTGTTTGAGCACTCTCGCCTGTTTTCTGACAGCTACTGGGTGACTGAGATATAATGAATCAGGCTTGGAACTTCCGTTCGCACCAAAATTTGTGGCGACTTAGCGGGCCTAAAAGTCCAGTGACTTTAAAGTGAAGTTTTGGTGAACTGGATCCTGTTCCAAGAAAAACGGCACAACTACAGCTCTGGGCAGCTATTACAACAGAAGAACAAGGAGCCCAATATCGCCCGAAGAAACCAGAAAATGTTCAATTTGGGCGGTTGTTTTACATCAAACCATGCCATTGCATTTGTAATTACGAACTAGGAAAATATACCCGTATTTTGCCTACTTCCATGCAAGAGCATAGAATTATTGTAAAGATTGACCTGAACCCTTAAAAGTGCAGCCCCTAGCCGGTCTAGAGATATACCTATTTATTTACTTAGTTACTATCTGTTTGCGTCCTCGGAGTCATCCCCACATCTGCTGGGCCGCATAGTCCTATCTCTTTGCCTAATTCATTCTTGTCTGATCACTCTTACCTGCTTTCTGACAGCTACACGGTGACTGAGGTGTACTGAATCAGGATTAGCACATGCACTCATTTTCATTTCTTTTACTTGATTGCTGCTCTTCCTCGAATTATTTATCTAAAGCCATTAAAGTTCCGATGATACGCGTATTTGTTTGGACCACGTATACAGCTCTCGCCTCAGCTGGCTTGCTTGTTGTCAGCCAGATGCCTTCGTCCCGCACTGCGTCACTCGACTTTGCCGTTTCCTTACCTCGCTTAGACTGTTGCGGCTTAAAAGCCTTGTTTGCAGCAGATTCACCCATGGTATTTGTTGTAACCTTAACCAGGCCATCCCTATTTCGCACCACCCCTCCAAGCATTCTCATCGTGAGTCCATGCTAACCTGCTTGATTACTCTGTTGTTGATCCCGCATTACCATGACTTTATGAAGTTACCCATGCCGCCTGGGATTAGCGCAGCAGTGGCAGATTCATCACACCTTTCGTCTCGCTGGCTTCGGTATGTGGCATTTCACAGACGTTGTCTCAGATTTTATGATCTGCACCTCGAGTTGCCTCCTTATTTATCACCGCGCATCAATTAGAACGAATGTATTCTTCCTGCTTAATCCAATTTAAAAATAAATAAATAAACATTGTATTATCGACGAAACAAAACACGTTTATTGGTCATATTCAGCATATTGCATTATTGTACATGATAGCAGAATAAGCAGCACCAACAGTGGGAGTAGTACAGTTGGAGACAGTAGTGTGGGCCCATAGGGCCCAAAGGTTGTATGAAGTCTATGTACACAGAATGCGAGAGGTAGAGATAGTAATCAGATCACTTATATGGTATGTTGATGAGGAACTAGTCCGATGAGGTCCCGTACGCAGTGTAGGTCAGTGAGTGAAGTATGAGGAAACGGGTGAAAAATACTTAAGAATAGTGGCATGTCACTAATCAGATATGTAGGCGTGTTCGTGCGAGAGCAGATATATGCACAGAACTTGTAAATGTGATGTCGGTCAACTTGCCAATGTGTTAGGGGCGGTGACTTTATTGAGTGGCGAGTCACATCCGCCACGTCGCAGTGTTGTTAAACAGACATTTGTGGCTTTTTGTAGGGAAAACGCTTGCCAGACGAAGACCCACCACGTCCTGGAACACTGCCGGCTGGTGATATAACATTGACAAGATTGTATCTGACCGATTACCCTCGCGGATATTCGCAGTCACGTAACGCCAATTTGTTTCCTATGGCTGTGTAGTCACCTTCGGAGTCCAGTACAAGTGGCTAGAGCTGTTGAAGTTGGACGACGCTGTTGGCTTGTACTGAGTTGATTATTTTTCTAGGTTATTTATTGTGCCAGGATTAGGAAGTGCGGGGTTTCTTATTTGTTCTTTTTGTTTTCGTGCCCAAGGGATCGTTGCAGGTACGTCCTCAGCGGTGCTCGGTGCAGGTAATGTTATCCTGTGGAACAAGGGAGAGAAAAAACGGGCCGAGCAAACCGCCAACAAAATTGAACAGGACTGTGTTATTGTATAAATATAAAATTTATGGTAATGTTTTGCTGGTTGAAAGCAATGGAATGCCCGTATATGTTATACTTCAAATCCGTAGTTTTGCGTTGTAGCACGGGACCCGATATTTGCTGAATGTGAGAGGAAGATGCTGGCCGAAGTGGTCTAGCGTACGCAAAGTTGTCCTGTTTGGGAACCGTGAGTATCAGGCGTTGTTAACCGGTAAATGAGTTGAGGGAATCAGAAGAACATAGTGAGTGGTTTAATAAGCGCTTAAGATATAGGTTGAGCGATCTGTTGACAGTGCTAGAGCTTATCGTTCGAACATGTACGAGAGCCAGTGAAGTTATTACGCCGGGTTTGAGACCCATGAAAATAATAACGTAACATGTTCAGTAATCGGATGCTAAACAGCTGGGTGAAGGGGTGAGACGGAGTGTTAAATTTGTGACGAGAGTGGGATTGATATTCTACAGCTGTAGCGAAAATACCGCTGCAAAGCTAGCTCTAAAGGGACCTGGAATAGCGGAAAAACTGATAGGGACCTACAGTGCAGCAAACAAGTCAAATATACAACAGGAAAGGGTGATAGTGGGAGTCGGGTTAGTTATGTGGAAGAAACTACTTTCTGACACGCCTTCAACTTTAATAACAAGAGAGAGAAGAGCTGAATACTACAGGTTTAGTCAGAAAATGGTTGTAGGGCCAGCGCTGAAGGGACCTAGAATATCAGTATTGCGAGCAGCAGCCGCTAAGGATGCTAGGTGTGCTACACTGGTGGGGACATCCACGGTCGCACGTTGAAGTCAAATATACAGCTAGTTATAACTCACTAACTGGGGAGTTGCTGGCAGCTTTATTAGGCTTAGCATAGTCTGATAGGTATAGAGTGTGGAATACAAGAGGGAGAACAGACAGCAATATTTGCGACAGCTGTAGAGAGAACACAGCAAGGGTGCCGGCTCCGGAAGTGACCAAGGTCAAGGGAATAATACAGACAGCACCGCCAATTGCTAAGTTTTCACCCCAAGATTTGCGATGACCAGAGAAGGTGCCGAAAAAGTATACAATAGCATATGGTTAAACATAGGAGTGGATGAGACCCGAAGAAGTTCAAGTACTCAGCAGCTGGCGCTGGTGGCCTTGGTAGGCGACTTATAGGCATTTGGAGCCTGAGAGGCCAGACTAGTCCAAAAGGTTTAATAATGCGAGGCACAGTTGAAAAGATAATCAAACAAGGCCTAGGATGTTGCGCTGAAGCTATGGGTACCTATACCGCCATTGAACCGTTGCGATAAAGACCAAAAGAGAGGCCAAACAACAGCGGGGGACGTAATTGGGTGCTGAGAAGCATGATAGTGGAGCCGAGCGGCAAAACTCAATCAGGGACCGGTATTTACAATTTCGGTAAAGGGGAGCAAGCATACAGAAAATGGACCGGGCGGAGACGAGTATCATGAGGCTGTTATTTATACCAATGAGAAACTTAGCTGATGACAGCCCATGCTCAAAAGAAAAGAGGCATTGGTTAGTAATCAGTATTAATTCTAGGCATTTCACTCCGGACTGATATTCTAATCTCCTCTCAGTCTTCTCTTTGCTTCCGACTACCGTGACCCTAATGATAAGGTATGAGCAGAGTAATCGGTCTGCTCACATCTCCCTGAGAACATCGTTGGTTTTCCAC